AACCGTAGGGAGCAAACGGAGGCAAGGCAGAAGTCATCGTGGCTAGATACGGAAAGGACTTGTGGAGTGGAGAGAAGAGACCAGAACTTTTTCCTTCCGTAGGTCAGCGTTCGTTGCGGAAGATCCCACCTTCGTCGCCAGTTTTGTAGTTCGGCAGAAGGAGGACGCGGAAGCCAAGATTAACAAACAGTAGCAGGTTTATTTAACATTAAAAAGAGGTGACAACGATTCCTGGCGGGGAAAACACACGCCAAGATATTTATACAATTATACAACCAACCACTGGCCGAGAACTGGGCAGCACCGCTAAGATCGAATCTCGGCCAATCAGTAGTAACTGTGGCCGGCAACAGCCTCAGCTGCGTCCCAGCCAATCAGGGCGCAAGAGGCTGTGGCCGGCTAAAACATAATGCATACACAATCCAACTAATGAATATTCAACAGTCCTGACTCTTGTTAGCTCATTATAAGGCTCTGAAGACCTATTTGTTCCCCAAGGGATTCAAGCTAAGTGGTTAGGAATGCTCTACCTTGGGACTGGGCTAGTAGGTGTGGTTTTAATCAGGGCATTATGAATTATACTTTGTGGTTTTAATCTTTATACACTATCCAGAATCACTGCTGTGAGATGTATGGTTCTATGATCACATGGAAGGAAAGCTCTTAAAACCCATTGGCACTGGGTATCAGCATTTATTTAGTTGTCTAGGTGATCCTATGTAGGTGCCAGCGCTACTAGAAGACCAAAACAAAATCATCTCCAAAGACTAGAACTATTAATACAATTATTTTATTGAGAGGCTATAACAACAGAACCTTACAAACCTGATTGAACTATAAGAAATATGGAAGTATAGCACAGTGAATCAGAAAGGCATTTGCCTGAATTGCTTCTGAATATTATCTAGCTTTCCAGGGCTTAAATAATATTTCAGCCCTCTTTGTCCGGATAATGGTTCTTGCATATTTCCATCACAATTACTTCCCTTATTTTCAACACACAGGTTTTTGCTCATTGTGAGCCAGCATAGAAGCTATTTATTCAGGTTGTTTACCATACTAATTATTGGTAGATAAAATGAAACACAAATGTTAAATTACAATGAAAAATTTTAAAGGGAAATATAGCTAATACATACTCTTAATTTGGAAGAGGTCAAAAAAAGCACAAAAGAATGATTCCACACCCACCTTACACCATCCTTACCATAAGATAAGTTTGCAGCAACTAAGCAAACCGCAGATGATCTTAGTGATATGGAGGCTCTCATGGAAAGGCATTATCTCAATGGAGTTTAGGCTCAGCCTATATAGCTTTTTAAAGATAACAACCAGCATTTTATTTCATCAAGCAATGAATTAGCACCCACTGTAATACACAATTTAATTTTGTAAATATAAAAAGGATACATGTCACTATGCTTTACACTCCAGTATGACTAGTTTTCTATAATAGCTATAGTTGAAAGTCTGAATTAGTACTTCATTCACCGTGCTTTTGAATAACAACTATTATAGTTATAATGTGCATGACACCAGTGTAGAAAGAGGCATTTCTGAAATCTATGTTATAAGAACAGATGTATACAAATTATACTAATAAGTCTTCACAGATGGTGGCTAAGAATAGCTTAGGTGATGGATTGGATTTGATTTTACTTGGCACGGAAGTTTTCATAACTTTGCTGAAGACATGAGAATTTCCATGATTTTATACATTTTAGGATGCTGTCCTATTCAGTTAGACAAATGTTAAACAAACAGTTAAATGTACAGAATAAGATTATTGAAGTGACATCTATGCAAGGCCATCAGTAGGATCAGAGGTGGGTTGCTGCTGGTATTACTGCCAGTTCATAACCCGCACGGAATGTGCGTGCGCTGTTCTATGTAAATTGTTTTGTGTGCATGTGCAGAACAACTTACAGTGAGCTGCGCACGCGCAGTCACAAATTCAAAATGGAGGCAGCCAAGCCACAGTGAGGGAACCGGTTTGGGAGGGGGGTGTCAGGCCTGGGTTGCTGCTGGTTCTGTGACCCAGGCCTGAATTCCACTACCGGTTTGCCCGAACCAGCAGTAACCCACCTCTGGATAGGATCCCTACCAGCAAATCTCAAATTGAATGTAATTATTCAGATATAGTTTTTGATGAATATTCTTATATGCACTATATCTCTATTTCTGAGCTGATATATGAAGTAACTCAACCAATAGTGATGTCATCTGATTCCATAGAAACAGAATACTACACATTCTTTGAAGAACTTCACTGACGCTGTATTTGTGTATCCAATGTTTTGATCCAGGGATATCTGCCAAATTCATTAACAGAAACAAGATTGTAAGTTTTAACAATGTCTAAATATTAAGGCTTTTACTGATTAAAGTAAATAATATTTTCCTGTTCTTAGAACTTGAAAGCAGTAAACATCGAGAGGTTTTTTGAAGGATGACTGAATTTGTCAATCTACTAGAACTGTCAGAAAAACTACCTCAATTAACAGCAAACATCAAGAAACTGAATGACAGATTCATGGCTTTCCTGAACATTGAAACAAAAATGCAAAGAACAAAAACAGAAACTACAAAATTAATCAATACTTGCAGCTACAGAAATTTAAAATCACTATTTAGAAGTAAAAAACAGCATGGAAAATACAACACTGTGAAAAACAAACCTTGCACTAAAGCTAAGAAAGAGAGAAACAAAGGCAAAATTGCATCTTTCTTAGGATTGTTTAGGAAACTGAGCTCCTGGAGGATCAGACATAAACAAACATTTGATGAAGATCAGGAACTGATTCCACTAGATTTATTTGATATTTCTCATGAGATAATACAAGTTAACTGATATTCTGTTTTCCTTTCTAATTTAATGTTATAAACATGATTTTAAAAAACATTAATTTGAATGCATGTCTTTTAATTTTTTCAGTATATTTCCAGCTACTTCTTGAAGTGATACATATAATCTATCATATTTAAGTACAGTATTCATTTGAGGTCATTCATCTTTGATTATCAAGTGTCTATAACAAACAACTAGATACATCTAGGCTCATATCCTGATCTGTGTGTGTGTGTGTGTGCTGCCAAAGATAATTTGATGTCTATCTATTGCTGGAAAAGAACCAGATAGTCTAACCTAGCAAAACATTTTTAAGTTGAGCCAGTCATTCACTGTGTTTCAAAATACTATCACTTGGTTAAATCTGTAATATGGGTTCTCCAGCTAAACTTCATACCAGTAATCTCTACCTCTAGCGCTCTACATGGGGCTGCCCCTGAAAAGTGTTCGGAGACTACAACTAGTCCAGAACGCAGCCACACGAGTGATACTGGGTGTACCAAGATACACTCATGTTACACCTATCCTCCGCGAGCTGCACTGACTTCCTATTGGTCTCCGAACGCGATTCAAGGTGCTGGTCATTACCTTTAAAACCCTACATGGCTTAGGACCTCGATACCTGTGGGACCGCCTACTGATGCATACCTCCCAACGGCCGATAAGATCGCACAGGGTGGGCCTTCTTCAGGTGCCGTCAGCCAGGCAATGTCAGCTGGCGGCTCCCCGGAAGAGGGCCTTCTCTGTAGCCTCTCCGACCCTATGGAACGAACTACTCCCTGAGATCCGGACCCTACCCACTCTCATGGCCTTCCGAAAGGCAATTAAAACCTGGCTATTCCGGCTGGCCTGGGGGCTGACCTCATGACTGATGTCCAGCCCCAACCAGAGTGGGTGCATGATGTGGTTTTAATCTATTTTCTCTGTTCTTTTTAATTCTTTATATTTTTTAAAGATTTGTTTCTTTCTGTAAGCCGCCTGGAGTCCTCCGGGATTGGGCAGCCTATAAATCTATTAAATATAATACAATACAATACAATACAATACCTTGTTTTCCTTCTCCTTTTATATTCCATATCTTTTCTCATTAAGTCTATAAGCTCACAGTAAAGGTTTGTCTTCCTTGTGTATCATTACACAACACCTATTTAAAGACATAAGCTTTTATATAAATAATTATCATGAATTTACTGTGATTACACTGATACATAAGCTCATAAAGATCTATTTTGAACAAAAACAGTACTTACATCACACATACTGCACGATAGTGATATTATTAGCTCTTGCAACACAAATTAACTATATTCCATTCATGTAGTCAGTATTATTCCTGAATATTCATGTACAACTCATATAGTACTCCCTAGCAAGTATTAAGCACTGTATTTTGATTGCATTATGCAGAATATGGTTCAGCAAATACAAGAACACTTTATCAACATTTAAATAATTATATATTAATCGCCTCATTAAATCTGAGAGTATTTTATGAAATAATCTGATATATGATTTCCAAATCTTTTCAGAAGTAAATGCCACTGTGTGGCTTACTCCCTGTAAAGATGTTTAGGGAAACAGAGCTTTTACCTTAATGTTGTAAGCGTGGTTCTTTTAAAATGTTTTATCTTTGCTGCACTTTCTTATTTCAATCATTTTAGGAATATTTTCTTACTCATTTTGCAAACCATGCTTATAGGTATTTTATTCTGCAAATGATTATCTGTACATTAATTTAAAATATAACTAGTACTAACTATAACTAAGAGATGAGTGAGACTACAGTGAGTTAAATTTTCCTTAATTTGCTTTTCAAATAATATGAACTTGCTTTATCTACTCTTTCACCTTCCCCATTCTATCCATACAAAGAAAATCTATGTATTTTTAAGCATATAAAAGAGCATATAAAAATACTGCAATCTTGATAACATGAAGGAGCAAACTTTCTTAAAAGCAAAGACAAATGTTATATATAACCACCAGATGGCAGATGGATCTATATCTTATAATGAATTATACACACTTCCTACAAATGTCAGGAATTCTTATCACAGTCATTTTCATTTATTTTCTTTAAGTTTATACAAGTTATGTATAAAATGTTATCATTAAAATATCTTCCTATAACATTTTATCATATACATATTTTAATTAATTATATCCAATATATCAATTCCTGAAGTGACTTTCAGCATCTTATCCTGGTGTTTCTGTCTTAAGATTTCTGTTTCTGTTCTCTTTTAGGGGAAATATTCTGTCTTTTTAATATTTCCTAAAATATTTCATATATTAGGGTGGGTGTTAACTTTCTACAACAGGGATGCTGCAATGATTATAAATCAATTTTTTCAGCATTGTAGCTTTGAATGGTCACTGAACAAACTGTCATAAGTTGAGGACTACATGTATAAGGTATTTTCTCTCCTCTACCTTCTCTCAATTTACTCACAGTGCCTTGAACGTACAAAAAATTACTTGCTATTTTGTGACATTTTTGCAAGTCATAATGAAAATGGCTGTACTATAAGATATCTAAAATGTAATATATTTATTTATAGCTGGAAACTGGATATAGAAAAGTATATAGAGTGTTTGGGAAGAGAAATTTTGAAAGTGCTCGCTAAAGATTTCAAATATCTCCATATAATTTATATAAAAATATTGCAATAGACCCAGCATGACTTTAAGGATTTTAATACTCCATATGTGGTATTCCTCCATTTTGTCTTCACAACTATCCTTTGAGGTAAGCCGAACTGTGTGGTAGTTATAGAATTAGGAATATGGCTCATCCCAGTCCGATATTCTAATCCAGTTTTTCCTAAATTGATACTTTCTAGTTACACTGCACTACAGCTCCAATTTCCAAGCCAGAAAGTATATCATTCCCAGAGACTCCTGATAGTGATAGCGTCTCTAGTCATTCTATTACACTACTGTACACAACGGGGGCCTTCTAGGTGTTTTTAATTAAAGAAAAACATGTATATAAAAAAGATGTCAGTTCCACCTTGAGCGCTCAGAGGGGGAAAAGCTAAACAGTGGCCTGTGAGAAGGAGCGCGCGCGCGCGCGCCCGTGCATACAGACGACGCGCGCGCGCTGCTCCGTGACCCATCTCACTGAACAAAGGATTCCCGTTCGCAATCTCTAGACCTAAAATGGCGTCAGTTCAATCTCCCAGCACCATAGAGATAAAGGAGAGACCGAGTTAAAGGGGGGCGGAGGGCGGGAAGGTGCACGGAAAAGGCGAGTGGGTAGAGTGGCTGGTTTGGGTTTTTTTTTTTTTTTTTTAGCATAAGGCCTCTCTGCCTATCGCGGCATTCTGACTCGCTGGTCGTAGTTCTGAGCCCGGACTGCCGGAAAAAGCCTCAGCGCTTGTCTGATTATGGCGACGGAGGACGAGACTAAGATTTCTAAGAAGGTAATGGAGGTGAAATCTTCTTTAAAGAAAATTGCTTCTTCACCGAATTGCTTCAAACCCCGAAGGACTCGGTTGGTCGAAACGTACCGCCTTTTCAACCATGAATAGCCACTTTCTCAAGCAGTCCAGGCTAGGCGACTTTTCTTCTCCCCGTCCAGAGATACACAGTAGTTCTGAACACGAAGGTTTCGGTGACCTCTCGTCTCCTTTTGACAACTAAATGTAGGATTTAATTTTAATCTGTCAAATCTCCTTAAAACAACAGGCTGCTTTTTTTCCTTCTACGTTGGGTTGGTGACAGTTGCTTCTGGAAATGCCATTGCACCCAAGCGACTCTATTTCAAAATAACAGCCATAATCCCCGCTACTCAGCATTATTTTAAAGAGTTTGGCTACCACTAGGAAAGAGCAAAATGAAAGAATGATGGTTAATCTTAACTGAATTACTTGTATTTGTTGATACAGACATACAAAGTGTAGTAGTAAAAATATCTTGGGGATATGATCCCAATTATTGTTCTGATGTTTTAAAGAAATATCCAAATGTACCTGATATTTTTCCAAAGAACCAACAATTGTTATGAAGAGAGTTTTTATAAAATATAATATGTTCAGCATTCTGGTAATTTAAATTCTTAGTGGCTGTTACATGATATCAGACTTTCAAAGGATCTTTACCCTCGAGAAAGGATCATCCTTAATACAGCATATGCATATTTTATAATATGTAATTGTGTTTATTTGTACAGTGACAATGTATTACAGGCTATACAGTAGTGCTAAATACAGACAACACACATACCTATCACAACATTCTCTTCAGAGTAAGAAATCTTATGCAAAGTATAGAAAGGGAATGACAAGTGAAGAAATTAAAGTCAGGAGATATGAAAAAATGTACTTACATCTAATTCATTATAAAAACATAAGTAGTGCTAAGGTGGATTGGATCCTTGGCCAATCTAGTCCAGTAGTCTCTTCTCACAGTTGCCAACTGACAGCAAAGGGAACCCCATTAGTTTCCCAGCTTTCGAAGACAGGTATAGTGACCATCACGTGTTAATAGCCGTTGATTGTCTGACTTCCATGAATTGATCAAACCTTTTTTGAAGCCGGGCAAACTGGAAGTCACCATCATATTTCATAGGAGCAAATTGCAAAGTTTGATTACATTTGTGATATATGAGCACCATTCACTAAATTCATATTTTCTGTCGTGGCAAATAATTGGTTTCTCTGCATCCATATACTATTTCCTATGTGGCCTTTGGTTCTGAAAATTTCTTGCTTTTTTTTTTTTGCAGATGTTATTAATTCCATAAGACCATGACTTTCTCCATCTTCCCATTCTTCTCAACCCTTTGCTATATTTTTACATGCAAAGATACACACCATACACTTACAATTCAATTCTCATTCATTCTTTCGTACAATCAAACCTCCACAACCTATTTACTTTTATATTCAGCTCATATTCATCGCTGTTTTTGTTTTACTACGTACAGTTTTTAAGTAGAAAATTACAGGACTGAATGGGACATTAGTGTTATTCTAGCCCAACTCTCATCCCACCCAAGAAAGGAGTCCTTATTCCATCCCAGACAAATGGTTGTCCAGTATTTTCTTGAAAACCACCAGCAATGGTGAATTGCACTCACAACTCCAAGAGGCAACTGTTCCGTCAACTAATTGTTCTCACTGCCAAGAAGTTTCTCCTTATTTCCAGGTTGGATTTCTCTCTGACTAGCTTCCTGTTATATATGTTATAAATCTACCCCATGTACACATTCAGCTCTCAGTTCTATATAACAAAATGGGAAAAGCATTATCTTATATACAGCCATTTTTGTTTCTATCAACAAATGTTTATTCCTTAATGCAGATTTCATACTACTTTTTACCAGCATTAGCACATTTTAAAGTTTTCTCCATATTGAGGTAGGAAATTTATGAAAACTGAAATAAGCTTAAAATCTCCTTTCCCAAACCTTAACAAGAATACAATTCAGTTATGAAGCTCTTACTGACCCATTCGTAAAACTGTGAGGTCCATGATCAGAAACTAATTCAGAATGCAGATGGCTTTATTTAAGTTGTACTAGTGAATTTGATGTTACCAGTAATTTATGACACTGTATCTCAAACCTCCAAATATATTCATTTGAATAATTTATACATTAGAAATATAAATTTGATGTTGATAATGATTATTAATATGACCAAGCATCACCTTCTGCAACTTACCAGGAAAGTAATATTAGAGCTATCCAGCTGATGATCTACTTAATACTATCAGACAATTTGTAAATCAATATAATCAAAGCATATTTCCTATAGCCAAACTAAATTTTAATCTCTGAAATATCTACTACAAGTCACATTTGATGAATGAGTTTTATTTGTGCGATTGTTGCTTGACTTTACTGTTCAGTTTTTCCTCTTTGTGGCTCAGTAAAGCTTTTGCACCAAATTTCTGTTATGCTTAACTATAATAGAGGTTGATGCCTTTTTTGAAATTGGATCTTAAATTATTATTCAGAGAAATTGTTTTTGTTCATTTTAAAATTACATTTGGTGAGCCCCAAGTATATCTTAAGTATAATGCATTTAATTTCTTTTCAGTCCTTTCTGCAGGAAATGCTGGAAATCCATAAAATTCCTTGTGCTCGACAATCATTTCTTTATGGAATATTGGGTGGTCTAGGTGTAGGGCTTGGACACTTTTTGGCAACTAGTAAGTAAAAAATAAAGACCTGTTAACATACAAATTATATGTGATTGTGTGTAAAGTTTTTTTATTTTTTTATTTTCCCATCATACTTTCTCAGATTACTATTTGCCATCAATGCACCATTTTAATAAACACAATTGACACATCTTTCATAGTAGTACTTGTTTCTGTCACTGCATTCCTTCCTAGAAAAAGTGCATATTATCAACAATCCCTAAGCTTTGAATATTAGTGGTAAACTTTAAAGTTCTAAATGTTAATCACTTAAAACTAATAGTAAAAGAATAATTCAGTGATCAACCAGTCTGTTGCAGTCATTAACTAGAAATCTTATTTCAATAGTTTGCACGTTTCTCCTCTGTTCTTCCTTTATCAATTTAATATACTCTTTCTGCTTTCCAAATAATTGTTCTGCAGTGATGATCTCAGGTTTAATGCAGTTTCAGTAAATTCCATTCAACTAAAACTAAAATAAGTATTCCAACAATGATCTATTCTATTATGTTAAACTTCAGAAGTAACTATTTTGGATTATGTTTTACTGTGATTTCCTATATTTTTGTTGTTGCTACCTTATTATACACATTCAATATGAGTACGATAACTCTTTTCTCATCATCAGGCAAAGTGAGACGATCCTATAACTTGGGAGTAGGAGGTTTCTTTGTGACAACATTAGGATGTTGGTGAGTATAATTCAAAAATTATGATAAGCTTACTGTTTTAAAATTGATCACGCAAATGGTTTTTCTACACTTTTATTAATAATCACACGGTACTTATTTGTAGCAAGATTTCCTTATTACCTTAAGAATTGTACTTTCCATGCATCTGTCCGAATTTATACCAGTTGATCTCATTGGCAACAATGACCAAATTTTCTTCCATAATTTCCATATAGAACTTGGTTGAGTTCATAATTGGCATCAAATTGATTCCAAAATTGTTTGTGAGCCACTCAGTTGTTTTTTGATTGGCAACCTTGCAATTTTTTAAGACTAGGTAACCAAGAAGCTTTTAAAATTTCCAACTATTGTTCTTTAAAAAAGGCTATTGCAATGAAAAAAAGAATAGGCATGTCTGCTGTCTTTTTGCATAGGCATAATGGGGAAGGCGTTTGAAATAGCTTCCATGACAAGTACTGGTGTAAGTCTGATGTTTTTGGACTGACACAGAAAACAGAAATATATAAACATGAGTGGCAATAAAATGTTTTTTCCATAGACAAAAATGTTATATAGCATGTGTTCTTCTTTAATGAGTGCCAGTCTGACAACAGCTGGATTTATATTCTGTGATAAAGGAATCATGCTTTTTTCTTATTCTGTCTAGTTTTAATTGCTATAAAGCAAACAAAATATAAATAATAATGCAAGTGATAAGTGATAATCATGTGCTTTTTAAAGGTTCTATTGTAGATACAACAATGCAAAACTAAGGTTTCAGCAACGCATGGTTCAAGAAGCGATAAAAAACAAGATACTTTTTGAAGGCACTCCATTTGACCCCACAAAGAGAGAAACAAATCAGGAAAAAAGCCATTAGTTTTAGCAATGCCATTAAAATAATTTATACTGATTATGTGTATTTACCGCACCTTACTGTAATTTGATAAAACATTTCTTGTATTGTAAAATTCAGTTTTTTATTCTCATTTTATCACTGCTTTGTATGTAAATATGCTGCTTTGAGAGCAACTTTCTAAAGTAGCACATTCTAGCAATGTTTTTTCTGATAAATTAAAAATATAGCAACAGCACATTGAAAGCTTTATCCATTGGACAAAATAGCCAAAACTAAAGGACAATAGTGGTTAGTTACTTTGATCTTAATGAAGTATAGCAGTCATTTAAAAATCTCTCAGCTACTGCCTCTGAGCACAATTTTCCTGCTGTTCTCAGTACTATATTAATAGGAAATGGAATAGCAGTTTGCCTAAACTCATGCTACAAAGAACAAATATATTTTGAATGCTATGCTAATTTTTTTTGAGGATTACTGGATTCTAATGTTAGCTATACCTTTGTTCTGTAGATTTCAATCTTTCTAAATTGCCATACTGTATTTCATTTTCCCCTTTTCAGAATTTTTCAACTGTAAAGGTGCAGTGCCTTTAGTTTCTTAAATTGTCACTTGATTTATATAGTAAGGCACATGGTGTTTTTTTTAATTTGAAACATTTACACTGATGAGAACCAGATGATGTAACTAGATGACCTTGCGCCAGTCATTCCTTCAGACATAATTTGTGCAGGCTTTGCATTAAGCTAGTGTCCACATGTATGTATGACATATCTACCTATCGCTTTTTTAAAATTGGCATTGTTATAAAGGAGCCAAATAGTTGAAAAAACATTTTACCCAAATATACTATGTAATATATTGTTACTAATCTCTTAATGACCCACTGATCTTGTAAAATATCTTATTGCTAAAAAAGCGGATGATTGTTTCCTTAATTTTAATTTGGAAAAAGTATACCTTGTAAAAAAACTCGGTATGTTCATTAATTGCATATTGATATACAAAGTATTTGTAAAGAGCGCAGTATAGTAATAAATGTAGGCTTTTAATGTGGTACCTTTTTCCAATGAAGTCTGTGCAAGTGCACTGAGAAATCATGTTGTAAATATCTAGAAGCTGCTGAATATCTTTGCCCAAATCATAAAGTTGCAACCACAAATTTTACACATCCCAAATTCTGTAGATTAAATCTTCTAAATCTGAGGCCATTGGTGCTCTGAGTTTGTTTTCTTGCAGACCTTTAATTACTGTATATACTCGAGTATAAGCC